AAATGTTAAGTGTCATTAAGCTGATTTTCGAAGTTAAATTAAAACTAAAAGATTGTTATTTTAATGACATACAGTCAGAATCTATTTCTTTTTTTAAATTCATTATGAATAGGATATTTTCTTCAGACACTAAATTATGAAGATTACTAATGAAGAAACTTGAATTTTATATGTAAAAAAAAGATGGAATTTTCGGATATTGAAAAACTTAGTTAAGTAATTCAAAAATGAGTAAACTATTGAAATACAAGAGTGTATTTATTGACAAGACACAGTTTTCTGTACTGGAATAACCGTTCGATACATGGAGTTGTGAAGCAAGTTTTCCTTTGAAATTGGAATAAAGTAATTTTAATATGATAAATAAATGATCAATGAAATTGAACTTTGAACGTTAATTCAACACTTAAAGGAATATTCCAAGGAATAATATCGGCATCTGAATTTTGTTATAGTGTATGCTCGATACACACATAGATTTTATGAACGGTAGAATACGAGACAGTATCTTCTCTTATACCCACAAACGAATGAGTAATCGAATATTCCTGTTGACATTGACAGAAATACGAAGCACTACGATTCAGTAGTAAATCTAGGAAGATGAAGCAACGAGATCGTTATGTCCCTTTCGAAAATTTTTCCGATTTTTCACAACAAAATCGAACGAATATTAGCTTCATACTAACTACTGTTGCATTTAATTTAAGAATCTAGTGGTTTTCTTTCTCAAGTTTGTATCAAGACAGTTCTTCATAAGAAAAGTCTAGATGACTCTGAATTCCTTATTCATCAAAGCTAATATCTGCATAAGCATGATCGATTCAATAGTTTCGATTTGTTGACTGTATCAGATAATCTCATCTTTTACTTTTTGCAAAACATTATTAAAAATAGGTACTACCAGTATGGTGAGCTTTGTCAACAAATATAGGGTGAGGGTGTTGGTGAACTAAAGACCTACATCCTTATGAATTCAAATAAGGTCTTTATGTATATAGAAGCACGTGACCAAAACTTATTGCGCACAACAATCTGAACAATTTACATTCAAGATTCGAGCATCCATAGTAGTAAAAAAAATTTTAACAACGATATATATTTGACTTTTTTTCTATAATGTTAAGCACCTAGCTCAAATTATATAGGGACTTTAATAGCTAATAGAGTTTTCTATGTAGTGCATTCGATACTAAGATTTCACAGATGAACTATGATGGCATGGTTTCTGAAAAATTAGGTACAGTAGTTTTCACATCTAAGAAGACTTTGTTGGAGCTATTTATTAAACAATGTCATCATAAAGAGCACCAAACTGTGAACAAAATAGGAATCGTCGTATTTCCTACGATCTTCCCTTAGAAAGTTAAAGACTTCACAAAAACGAAATTTATAAAAAAAAATCGCTTGAAACGCCTTCTTTTGGTTTTTGTGATGCTTTTAACTTATTAAGGAAAGGTCATAGACAATGCGACGACCCTTTATTTTGTCCGAAACTTTGCACTCTTTTCGATGGCAGTGTTAAAAAATAATTCCAACAAAGTCTTCTAGGATCTGATAAGGCCAATGTCTATTAAAATCACTAGCTAGATTCGAGCTAGATGCTTAACATTATAGAAAAAAAATCACAAAGTACGTTTTTGTTAAACTTTTTCCACCATTATATAAGCTGATAATACAGTGACACATACTTTTTCCTTGGCATGTGCCAACCTTAACGTTAAGTTTGAGTTTCGATATCAAACTTTATTAGATCGAGTTGTTTTCAACTCGAATTCACCACTCTGAGCTGAATCAAACTCAAATCTCAGAAACTCAATCTCTATTAACTCGATTAACAAACATGTGAGTTCGATTTGATTTCATATAAGAAATTTAGAATCCTAATAAAAATATAGAAACCTGTTATATTCTACAGAAAACATGAAACATTTCGTCCGAAAGCTACCGAACCTTCTACTATATCATTCACATTCAAAAACTTTTGTAGAAGGATTACAATACTTTTCTCTATCTGGTAAACCTATCAAAAGTTCAGTACGAATCATACAGGACTATTACTTTCTGCACAGAATTATACAAAAAACTGTAGGAAAAATGAAAAAGTTTTTTCGATTCCATTTTTTCACAATGATTATGTATTAAAGTGCACAAGTTTTCCATATGTTTCGAAACCTACAACGGATTTTGTAAGCAAGATACCAAATTTTATTGACATTCTCTAAACCTAAAAAGATTTGGCACAAATAACATTAAATGTTTTTTCTTTTACAGAATCTAAATTGAATCCGTACCAAAATTCGGAACCTACAAGATTTGGTACTTATATCATTTTTTAGAGTGCAATATATGATTCGCATTTCATTAATTTTCAAGAAAAAATACCAAATGAAATATTAATCAGATTTGCATAACTGAGAAACTCTGATCCACAGACAAAGTTATGTTCGAGTCTCACATACCAAAAACTATCTGACTGCAAAAATTTTTAGTGTTCCTAAACTTGATTTGACGACAGCTAGATCGAGAAAATATTTGATTGGCTTAAAGCCGAATCTGCAAAAGCAATGTGAAGAGGTCATGGTTTATATATGTTATATGACCAGAGCTGCTACCTCTTCTGCTTTTTGAAGTTTTTTCTGTTTTTTTGATACGACGTTATTTATTATTTCAATCAACATTTTTCATCTGAAATACCTTCGTTTCCATAATTATTAAAAAGAAAACATATCAAAAACTACTGATAGTTTTGTGCCATTCTAATTCTTTCCATTCGATGCAGATGATATTAGGCTTTCAATCAATTCTTTACCTATGGTTTTCTATCGTATTTTAATTAAGGTGCGGGAAATGCAAAATTTGAGTGAATTTTTTTTCTCGTTCG